TAAAATAATTCAATAAATTTATATTTTATATTAGAAAAATTACTATCAATTTAATATTTTTATGATATTTTCATATCAAACGTGACCATAAAATTAAGTGTTTACCTTACTCAATTACTGATTTTTATCCCAAAAATGAATATTTTGATTAAAAACAAAAAGATTATCGGTTAAAGTGTTTAAAGAGATATATACTAAAATAACTATTCAGTTAAGGTATATTTTTAGTATTTTATCTTTTTAAATATAAAAAATTACAGTAATTAAATTCTTTCAAATTTGAATTGAACTAAACAAGATTTATAAATTTGAAGACTAAAATTATTATTATTATACTATATTGCGTTAAACATTTCAACTTTCCTTTTATTTTCAAAAGTATAATGGCATGTTTATAATAACTTTTAGTTAAATAACTAAAATATAATTTTAAAAAATAAAGTATTATAATCGATATAATAATCAATAAGTATGATCCAACTACACAATTTAAAACCAAAACATTTTACACTAATTTGGAGTCATTTAATGAATGAAAATAGACAACTGAGATTAATATAATATGAAATGAGAAGTTATTCATTGAAAAAAATAATGAGTAGATAATCTCAGTCGCCTATCTTCACTCATCCAATAATCTTAAATTAATGTAAAACTAAAAAAATTATATTGTGTAAATGGACGTGAACCCAATAACTAAATGACATAGAGTTATTTATTAAGATATATATAGTATATTGAAATCAGGTCGAGTGATCTTTTGATATATATAGGCATAGCTAGAAAAATATCAAAGTGTATATATATATAAACCTAGACCTCTATACATGGTTTTGTTTTTATACTTGCAAGTTGCAGCAACTAGAAGTGACGAAGGAAAATTCCTGCAACTAAGATGCAACATATTTTGAGAAAGATTAACGAAATAAGATTAGTGTAGAATTAGTTAATATTTACTACTGTATTTGGATGTGATTGTGTTGGTGGGTAGGGTGGAGGCCCTGTTGAAGTAAAAGGAATATGGTAGGTCCAAGACGAGGATTGGCTCAATTAGTTGAAAATCATTTTGGGGATAAGACATCCTATCATATACCATATGCATATATATCCTTTCCTTATTTTCAACTCAAGAAACCATTTTTCCTTTGAAGAAAATGACAGCCATACCCCATTCCTTTCTCCATTGATAAGGCTCAATACTTGGCACTGTAGTTGGCTTCTTACTTGAATCATATTCGCTTCAATAGAAGGATGAGTCAAAAATCAAAATCAGAATAATTAATTATAAACAAATAAAAGATAAAATTAAAATTGAGAATTTAAGCAGATATGTCTATATACAATTTTAATAAAAAAAAATAGGAAATAATGAGAACAATAAACATTAACAAATATAAAAAAATTCGAATTTGACTGCTATATAAGCCAACTCCGTTGGACTAGTCTACGGTAACTGGGGAAGCGTAAATTTGTGGGTTGTAAAGTTCCGAAAGGATATCCAAGTGTTTCTTATCTACGCCACGTGTGGTAATATTGTTGGACTTGGGATGCTATACGGAACTAGTCGACGCCCAGAAGTTGATCAATTTTTTAAAAATGGGCCTCTCATTTGCCAGCTCTGCGACCGGACCACCTGTCTTTTTTCCGTGGGCCATTCGCGCCTTCTCCACTTGGCTTCGAGATTTTCCTCAAGTTATAATTGAATAAAATAGTGGTTTAAAGTAGCATTCTCACTTGGATTTTGTAAGTAGTAGTTATTCCAGTTTCCACAGGCCCTTTTATCATTTAATTAAATTTCATATTGCAGTGCACTGTGATTATTGTCATTTGCCCTTTTATCATAGTGCATATCATTAAAACCACTGAGAGTTCGTCTTATTAGTAATCATTGGAATGTAATGTTGATATATTATAGATCGAAATGGCTTTATGAAGTTGGGATCGGCATTGGGAACTAAATGGTAATGTAACGGCGACTTATATAGCAATTGTGTCCCCCACTCAAAAACATGCTCCATACGTGTGACTACTTTTGGAACTATCTTATGACCCAAATTTGCAATTTCACTGACTTCCAATTAGTTTGGTTTCAACAATTCCATCCTTAAATTTGTTTTTTTCCTTCCCACTATATGTTATTACGCATGGTTGTGCCTTGGTAACACATCCTTTGGAAAAATTATTAGAGAATATTAAATTATTTTAAAATGAGGTTATTTGACACATCCATGACATACACTTGACGGACAACGGCAGAACTAAAAAGGTGCTAGTGGGGTCATAGCCCCTAAAATTTAAAAAAGAGTAAACTATACAAATGGTCACTAATATTTGAGTAAATTTTTGTTTTTACCATTGATGTTTTAAAAGTCACAAATTAGTCACTAACGTTATCGTTTGTTACAAATTAGTTACTCGACGTTAACAGCCGTTAACAAGCGTGACAGAAAATACACGTGGATCGTTATCTGCTTATCTGGATGGTTGACCGCCACAATAGAGAAATGTTGGAATCCCTTTGACCAGTGCTTTACCAAATATTTAATGAAAATTTAATTGATAAATAAATTAATGGGGAAATCAAGGTTTAATAATAAATTTGTTCATTTGTTGCTTTTCAAACATACCATCTTCACTTTTGTTCTTTTTTATGCTCAAGCTCAACAATGTAAACAATCCAACTCAAACCAGCTTTCAACAATGACAACCATAAGAGCAAACTAGCAAGAACTTTTCAAAGGGTCGTCAACCTAATAACCACCACAAAAATTGCTTCAAGCAATGGGATTGAAAATGGCTCCCACAGTGCCTCCGATGTTAACCGAAGAGGTGCTGCCTTGGAAGCTCTGGTGGCCATGGTTTTCGCCAGTTTCACTTCCATCAAAGCTGCTTACGCCGAGCTACAAATGGTTCAAAACCCTTATAACAGCGACGCCATTCAAGCCGCCGACCAAGTTGTCGTGGAACAACTCAAAGTGTTTTCGGAGCTGAAGCACAAGTTTTTAAAGCATGAGCTTGATGTTTCACCACAAGTCAGTTTGATGCTCGCCGAGATCCAAGAACAACAAAGCTTGATGTGCACTGCCGAGATCAATATCAAGAAGCTGGAATATGATATCGAAAGAAAAGTTGTAGACATTGCTTTACACCATAAACAGCTTAAAGATTGCACCTTTTTAAACAGGTCCATGGAGAAGAAACTAAACGAAAGTGGACTTCTTTCAATGTTCGATAATATCAAGTTCACAACGATGAATCCAAGTGATTTCGTTCAAGTTTTGAACTTTACAATAAAATTTGTTTGTAGTTCGTGAGGTTGATGATGAAGGAGATGGAGAAAGCAAAATGGGATGTTGATGTAACTCATAAAAGTATTGAACCTGGTACCATTCTGGCAAAACAAAGCCATCGATGCTTTGTCTTTGAATCTTTTGTGTGTAAAACAATGTTAGAAGGCTTTGTTTCTCATGATTTCGGGGTCACAAAGGAGGAATATTTCAACGAATTCAAGAGCTTGAAAACTGCTCAGCCGAAATTCTTTCTAGTTCAAAACCCATATTCTTCTTTTGCTAAGTTCGTCGTAGCCAAATACCTCAAGCTTGTTCATCCTAGAATGGAATGTTCATTTTTTGGGAACTTGAACCAGAGGAAGCTTGTTATCAATGGTGGGTTTCCAGATACAGCTTTTTTCACAGCTTATACAGAGATGGGAAGGCGATTTTGGCTGTTGTGTTGCTTGGGGTTTTCGATGAATGAACAAGTTTCAGTCTTTCAAGTGAAGGAGAATTGTAGATTCTCTTTTCTCTCTCAAACCCTCTTTGAAATTGATTATCTCATGGAGAAATGGAAGAAGAAAAGGTTAAAAATTTGAAAAAGGTTAGACCTTTTTCTTTTATTATTAAATCTTGATTCTCCACCGTTAATTGATTTATTAATTATTTTTTATTAAATATTTGGTAAAGCACATGTTAAAGGGATTTTAACAATTCTCCACTATGGTGATCAACAATATAGGTAAGCAGATAACGGTCTACGTGTGTTTTCCATCACGATTGTAACAAACGATAATGATGAAAATGTTAGTAACAAATGTGTGTTCTCCAATTTGTAACAAACGATAACGTTAGTAACCGATTTGTAACTTTTGAAACATTAATGATGAAAACAAAAATTTACTCAAACATTAGTGACCATTTGTGTAGTTTATCCTTTAAAAAATTATAATTCATACCTTTAAAGTTTTCAAAAAAAATTAACTTAGTCCTCTTAATATTTTTAAAAAAATTCAAATTAAACTTTAAAATTTGTTAATATTCTTAATTAAATATCCTCCCATAATTTTAAAATTTATTATTAAGCCTAGTAAAATTTCAAAAGATTTAGTTAGACCCTAATTTTTTTTAAAATGTAAACTAAACCCCTCAAAATTTTTACAAATTTTAATTTAAACCTCCCATTTTTTAAGTTTTAACTCGCCCCAGATTCTATCACTAAGTTCCACCACTAGTGACGGATCCATTCGCTTCGTCATCATAATGTTGATAGGCTTATAAGATAGACCAATAGTGATTGCATTATTATTTATTGATGGACACTACTCTCACACATATCCAAAATCATAATATACTATTAAAGACAGAATCAACTTACTATAATGATTAAAAGGAACTGATGTTGTTATTAAAGATCACGAGTTCGAACATTAATAATTACATTAGAATGATTAATCATTTATTATAAAATGATTAAGTGTATTTAGAATTTGTTTGTAGGAGAAAAGAAAAAAAGGAATACTGTCGGCGAATTTGGTATAGCAAAAATCTCGGGGTTTTCGAGGCACAGCGTGGTACCACGTGTAACAAAAATGATCAGTATTGAATTACAAATTTGGGGGCTCCTATAAATGGTGTATTCCCATGTTCCCTTTCGGCTATAGGGTCGTCCTTGCTGATAGAAACTTTGGATATAACCTTTAGCTTTTAGGTTAAATCAATCAAAACAGAGAGAGCAGCAAAATCAAGCACCAAAAGTAGAGGAAAATAGAAAGAAAAGAGAGATATGGATGAGAATAAAGCATTGAATTCCAGCAGGTTCAAAAGAGTTTGCGTCTTTTGTGGAAGCAGCCCCGGCAAGAGAAACTGCTATCGCGATGCTGCCCTAGAGCTGGGACAAGAACTGGTACTCTACTCTTTCCTCGTAACATGCTAACAACTTGCGACTAATCTCGATTCCTTGGGTTTTCATTCCATGTTCAAGGTGTCCCGCAAGTTGGATCTTGTTTATGGAGGAGGAAGCGTGGGGTTAATGGGTTTGGTTTCTCAGGAAGTCCACCGCGGTGGAGGCCACGTTTTAGGGTACCAAATACCAATACATGCATATTCTTCTCTTGGTTGGGATCTGTTATGTACATTTCATATCTCGTTTGTTGATTTTTCTTTGATTCATTCCGCAGAATTATCCCCAAAACACTGATGAACAAAGAGGTATATACTTTCTCAATCTTGATTTTCCTATTTCTTAATGTTAATGCCCTTGTGTTTTGGTTAAGCAGATAACTGGGGAAACAGTGGGAGAGGTGAAAGCTGTTGCAGACATGCACCAAAGGAAAGCCGAGATGGTCCGCCATTCTGACTGTTTTATCGCCTTACCAGGCAGGTCCCTTTCAACTTTCAAATGTATGCCACAGCCACTCATGAATTGTATCTTTATAAGTAATTAATTAACTTAATTATTGTTTATTTTCAACTAAATTTAATTAAACCAGGTGGATATGGAACCCTTGAAGAGTTGCTAGAAGTCACAGCATGGGCCCAGCTTGGAATCCACGACAAGCCTGTAAAGACATTTCATGTCTCATCATCCTGATGAATCAATCTGTTGGTCGAAACTGGTTTTCTGAAACTATTTCTCCAACATTCTTAACTTGTTTCTGTTTCATGTAATGGCCAACAGGTTGGCTTGGTTAATGTGGATGGCTACTATGATTATTTGCTCACCTTCCTAGACAAAGCCGTGGATGATGGCTTCATCAAACCAACCCAACGTAATATCATTGTCTCTGCTCCAACTGCAAGACAAGTTGTCCAAAAACTCGAGGTGGGTTTATTTTCAGCTTTTCATATTATTCAATTATATTATTGTGTATTTATGTATGTGTTCCGAAAACTTAGGATAGCGTTTTGTTTGAATATATATATATATATTATATATATATATATAGGAATACGTGCCAATGCATGATGGAGTTATTGCTAAAGCAAGGTGGGAGGCTAAACAATTGGAGCTCAATTCATCTTTGCAAACTGAAATTGCTTGTTAGCTAAAGAAAGATAACAATGGTCTCCCTTTTAATTTTTTAATTTTAATATTTTGTTTAATTAAAAAAAATATTTTGCAAATGTAAGTAAGCAAGTAGGTAGGGTAGGGTTTATCCTTTCAAATTTTGCGTCAACTGTATTACTGTGGAGGATAGAAAGAAGAAAATCCATGGGACGAAAAATTAATGAATCAAAATTGTTAATATATGTTCATGGTTGTTTCTTGTTAACTTTAACTCCTTTGTGGACAGAAATGGATGTTGGTAATTTTCAGTGCCATATATATGCTTCCTTTGGAAAAGAACACCAAGCAAAAACCATAAAAGCTTTAAATTCTGTTTTCCACGCCTGCTGTTTCCGTTCTAGTGCTGTGCAGAGACCCCCATCTCTCACGCTATTGCTTGCTTCTACCAAATCTTTTCAGCCTCTGGAGTTTGGATAATGTAACGATCTCTTATGGAGTATTCGTTAACAGTGTGTGTTAATGTGTATGGTTAGTTAAAAACTTACGTAGTTATAGTTAGTCATACTTGGTGTTGATAGCAGTGTATAAATAATTGTAAAAGGCTTAGTTTACTTTTTAATAAAAAAAGTTTCTTTTCCTCTTTTCTACAAACGCTGTTATGGTATCAGAGAATACTGCTTCTTTGAATTCGGGCGATTCGTTTCAGTCTTTCAAGAATGATGACCCGAGTAGTGAATATTACATCCACTCAAATGAGAATCCTTCACTTGTTCTAACGTCTGCTTTGTTGACTGGAAGCAATTATCACAGTTGGGCGAGGTCGATGCGGATGTCGTTAATCTCCGAGAACAAGTTGCGTTTTGTCGATGGTTCGATCAAAGCACCGTGAGAAGACGATCTGATGTATCAGGCGTGATTCAAGTGCAATAATCTTGTCCTTTCTTGGCTTCAATGAACCCTAAATTCCGAAATTGGGCAAAACGTAATGTGGATCGATTACGCTTACGATCTTTGGGTTGATCATTTTGATAGGTTTTCTCAAGGAGATTTGATGCGAATTTCCGACTTGCAACAAGAATTATTTTCTTTACAACAAGATACACGTACTGTGACTGCTTATTACACGCAATTGAAAATAGTACAGAATGAAATGTGCAATTTGCGGCCATTGACTGCATGCGATTGTACTGTAAAAGAATACAGGAAGCAAGACTTTATAGTTAAATCTTGAAAGATTTGAATGAGAATTCTTTGTTTAGAAATCACATATTCTAATGATGAAACCCATGCCTGCTATAAATGAGATTTTTGCTCTTGTTGTTCAACATGAGAGGTCAATTACTGTTAGCGGTTCTGCAAATGAGTAACATTTTGTTTGCTGGAAGGAATATGCATAATAATAGGAATACCCATTTTGATAATTCTGGACATGGATTTAATTCAAAGAAGCCCTTTAATTCTCGAAAAAAACCCAACTTGCACATACTATGGTGTCTATGGGCATTCTATTGATAAGTGTTATCGCAAGCATGGTTTTCCTCCTGGCTATAAAACTTCTAATTGAGAATAGACTGGAAAAGCAAGTCAAGTTTCTTATTCTGATAAGCGTGAATCTATAAGTTCTGATTCCTTGAACGCAACAAGTGGTTCTGTTTCCCTTACTAAGGAACAATACAATAGCTTGTTATTTTTGATAAAATAGAAAGAGGTTTCACAGACCTTAGCATCTCAAGTCAATGCACTGTCTTCGGTTTTTGGTGCAGCATCTCTGTCTGGGTCAGCTATGGCTTTTCTTGCTTTGGTCAATTTCCTAGAGCTAAATGGATTGTAGACTCGGGAGCTACAGATCATATTGTGAATTCCATTTGTTATTTTAGGGATATTATCCTATTGATAACAAGTTTTTTAGTCTTCCTAATAATCAATTAGTTAAAGTGACTCGTATAGGAACTGTTGAAGTTTCACCAAGTTAATTCTCAAGGATGTATTCTTTATACCGGTTACACTTTCAATTTAATTTCTACCTCACAGCTTACAAGAGATGGTTCTTGCTGTTTGATTTTTTAATTTACTTCTTGTGTTAGACAGGATTTGAATCTTCGGAAGACGACTGGTATAGCTAATCTAGTTGATGGTTTGTATGAATTGGAAACTAGTGAACCTCAAGAATCTTCTGCTTGTTCTACTATGAGTAATAGTCTTTGGCATAATCGGCTAGGACATCCTGCTAGGCAGAGTATGAGTTTTTTTTTTCTCAGTTGAACAGTGATATTTCTATTGATTGTACTTTGGATTGTGAAGTTTGTCATTTAGCCAAACATAAAAGACTTATTTTTCCTGTTAGTCAAAGTGTTTCTAATGCTTGTTTTGATCTAATTCATATGGATGTGTGGGAACCTTTTCCTGTTAAGAGCATATATGGACATATTTATTATTTTACTGTAGTTGATGATAAAAGTAGGTTTTTGAGGATTTTCCCTATAAAAAATTGGAATTTGTGTCAGTTGGATATTAATAATGCTTTCTTACATGGTGATTTGCAAGAAGAGGTGTACATAGATTTGCCTCCTGGTTTTAATACTAATCAGTCTATTGCTGTTTGTAAGCTGAATAAGAGTTTATATTGTTTAAAACAGGCAAGTAAGAAATGGAATGAGAAGTTAACTGCCGTTTTGCTTTCTCAGAATTTTATACAGGCTGTTTCTGACTCTTCTATGTTTTTAAGGGGACAGGTTCTAAGTTTACAGCCTTGGTCATATATGTTGATGATATTACTCTTGCTAGTGCAGATATGGAAGAAAATTTTCAAGTTAAAACCTATCTGCATGACATGTTCAAGATTAAAGACCTTGATAATTTAAAGTTTTTTTTATGACTGCTTCAAAACTAAAGAAAATTTGGGCTCATTATCAGTCTACAAGGACTCAAGGAGTCGGGAGGTAGGGGACGACTTATCTTTTTCAAATGCCGCCAAATATTCAACGGTCAAAAGGTGACAGGGCTGATTTTAAGGCCTGGTGCGGATAGAATTGAATGAAGAATTTTTGAATAAGTTGAGTTAATCAATGATATTTTATTATTTTAATTTAATTTTTTATTAGGTTAATGTGATTACATAATAGTATCTATTTTAAATATTTTCAATCATTTGACAATAAATGCTCCTAATTGTAGTCGTTGATGCTCAAACTCGTGAGCTTTAGGAACAATAATTCCTTTAATTTAAATTAAGTTAAATAATTAAATTTGATTAATTCCATTTTTTTATTTTTTTAAAATTAAATCAATTTTTACTCATATCTAATCAACATATCATTAGATGTGACAAATATTTAATTCGATTTTAAAATTAAAAAAATTATTTTTGAATTAATCAAATCTAGTCATTTGATTTATTCATTTTTTTAATTAACTCAAATAAATTATTATTTTTTTCCAATTTGAACTAAGGCGAACTTTTATAATATTTAAGAAAATCAATCAATAAACTACTCATTGGAGCACTGTTGTTTTTTAAATGAATAAAATATTTCACTCAATAATTTTTTTAGAAAGTAAATTTAACTTTAAAAAAAAAAGCAAAGGTAGTCGACAATAGTATAATGACAACATTGTACAATGGGTGACAATCAACTACGTATTAAAGTGGTAGCTCGGGAAACAAATGATTTAGGTAAAAAAAAAGTTTTTAATCACCACGAACATTCTTGAAAATACTCATTTGCGACAGTTTAATATACGACTTAAAAAAGATACTATTAATTTTGTCATTATTTAAATAATAAAATCGATAAAAAAATTATCGAAAACATTATTATTTTTATAGATTTTGTTATTATTGGACTCTTTACCGATTTTGATAAAGCACTACCAGTTTTGTTATTATTGAGCGCTTTACCGGATTTGTTAAAAAACTACCAATTTTGTTATTTTTTCTATTAATTTTGTTATTATTGGACACTTTTACTGAAAATGTTAAAAAAATTAATATTTTAAGTAAAAATAATAATGTTTTAAGTAATTTTTTTACCAGTTTTGTTATTTAAATAATAACAAAATCGATAACGTCTTTTTTTAACCCTTATATTAAGTTGCCGTACTGTAGAACTTCATCGAACATTCCACAACTATATCTGAACTTTAAAAGAGTGATGAAGATAAATAATAAGGAAATTTGTGAAAGATGATATAATTAGTTGCTAAAGAAATCCTCAAAAAAAAATAAAATATTACTTGCTAAAGAACAAGTATATTGTTCGATGGAAGACAGCGAGGATAATCTGAAAACAGTCGAAATATTATGAGAATTTAAAGTAAATTTAAAAAATAAGATGTGTGTGCAGGTAGACACAATGGGGAGAATGTGACCAAACATCTTAAACCAATGCACACTTAATCATCCAAGGGTTTCCCATTGGGCTTAATATATAGTTATATCAGAGTTGTCATCATCTTATTTCTTTCCAGGGCAAGAGACTGGGTTTAACGAGTAAACAAAAATCAACTCAGATTATAAGGATAACAGTTGATGTTTGTGTTTTCTTACAACTCTAATTTACGTGTAGATAGAAATGTTTGTCTTTTCTACTTGTTGCATTTGGGATGGTTTTACTTCTCCCCTTCCATTTTACAAACCGATTTAGGTATATGACTCAAACTCCAGTGTCCAAAGTTGTACGATTTTATAGTTTGAATTCTAACTCTGGTTGGTGCAAACGAATTCATTGATATTTGAAACTAACCACTTCACACGCGTACCTTATCCGAATTCTGCCCTGTCCAACAACGAGCAACCGATCTCAGCCTGTACCACTACCCTTTTTTTAAGCGTAAACTTTTTGCATGTCACAGATTTATTTTGATCCGTCTTTATCAACCTCTTGCTGCTCGGTGCTTCCTTCTCCCATCGATCATCTTCACTTTATCCATTCCCCTCTCAAATTGCCTTACAATTGTAATTATCTTATGTTGATTAACAAATAGTATGGCATCCTTAGCACAAAAACACTTGATTCAACAGCGAACGACACAGATTGGTTCTTCCGCTGGAGGAATACAGCTCATGTATACTATCCCCACTTGATAAGCT